GTTAACATCTCCTAGGCAGACACATGTAACCCTTGGTTAGTCGTTAACATCTCCTAGGCAGACACATGTAACCCTTGGTTAGTCGTTAACAAGTCAACAGCACGCATCTTTCCAAAATGTCCTGATATAGACTCTGGATTAGCAAATCAATTACAACATATAAATAACATACACAGGATAGACTGGGATGTCAAAAACTGGAAACTCAATGCCGATAGCTGTTCTCAAAATAACATAAACGCACAAATTTGCATTATTCGACTTGCATAACATTTTGTTTGCTATTGTAGGTATCCGGGACTAAACATATACGTCCAATGATCAGCTTTATTGCAAATAATATATATTTTTAGATTACGTTCCTATCACAAATATTCTTCGACCTTTTCGTAAATCTACCATAGTTAATATAAATATTTGTTTGATGAAAATTACATGATTTACTTCCATGCTATCATATATGGTCTCTTAATAACTTCTCAGTGAACCATTGTATTGGGGAACATTAAATGTGGTCTCCTTTCACTTGGTGGCTCTTAATAGATAGTCGAATGAGCCAGTTAAACTACGATATTAGTACATCAGAAACTAGTAGTATAATCTAAGAATACTGTCTGGCCATTGTTGATGTTCAAATGTTGATCCTGACAACAGCTGTATAACGTCAATTATTGAAATAATCGATGACTTACCAAATCATTGATCCTTTGTCCACCTTGAACGTATGCCGTTCTTACGTTACACTAGATATAGCAATACTTTTTAACATGAACTACGGTCACAGTTACCCACTATCGACGTCCACCACTACGTCGCCGAACGTCCTTGTTAGCAGACTTATATAACTCCTTCATACGTATGAAGATTCTGACCACGGATAAAGCCTTGGTGAAATATATCAAAGATAGGAGTATGTTAATCAGATATTATCCGTACGCATACACAAACGTGATGTGTCATGTTGAAAACGTCTGACATACTAAACAGACCTTACAATCACTACGATAACAATAAAAAGATTGATAAACAATGACACTGTGTCGTCGGTCGACAGCGATGTACTGTACATGTTTACTGCTCACTGAAATCCCCGGATATTTCGCTATTTCGGTCGTATCTATTGTTGTTGCCGGACCGGCTTTCCCAAGAGATAAAACTGACCACACTGGGTGTTGACTTCAGGTCATGTCATAGTCACCGACGTTAACTTTCGTATTTTTAGATTTTTAGGGTGTCATTTGGCTAAATAGCTGTTTAAGTTACCGTCCACTGCCCCTACCTATAATAAAACTAGATTGTCGTATTTTGAAAGCAAGATAAAATATAGGCCGTTGTCCTGAACGAGAGGTAATGTTACAGTTATACATATACTAAGCTGATATCCCGGATCGTCTCCACCGATATCTGATAAGGTATCTATACGCTTTCTTCTCAGTCATGAATCTCATAACGGTGACTGATGGCGAAGGAAATACGCTACAATACAAGAGGTACCAGGGCCATGTTTTCCCGAAACTGGTCAGGGGAAATGTACGCGATTAGCTGACTCAAGTAGCCAATCTCCAATGTCGACCAGACGATGTTTTACTTTGCACATACCCGAAAACAGGTACATTTGAAGCATAACATCATTGTAAATTGTATTTGGAGCCATTATGTTGTATATGATAACATCGCCAATCAGACTTGATTTAATAGTGACAATGATTGCCTGTGGTTCAGATGAATACTCATGGTGAAATATCTCGACAAATTGTAACATATCTACTGATTCAGAATAGAATACACTGGGCCTATTACTATATCAGATCACGATCACGTGACAAGTGTCACTGGTGTACACACTGCTATATATAGGACAGGACCTATACGAAATGGTCATTTTAGTCGGGGCTTGTTAGCACATTTGTTTCTGCAAGCATCGGAAGAAGCATGATTGTCTAATATCCAGCCGAAATTATACTCGCTTTAGTAATCAGTTTATACTTCAAACGTCAGCTATTGTTCTCAGCCGAAATTCCTTTTTCTCGGCCAATTTCGACCGATTCAGGGTACAGCGATTGTCACTAAAGACGCTCCCAAATAAGCATCGTTAGTTTGGATACCTAGATGATACCTTTATTCTAGGATAGAAACAATTTTTGGGGGAAACGTTAAAAGTTTGAGAAGGATTTAGATGAAATACGAAACCTATAATAATGTACATCCTTGTACGATGGAATGAAGTTTACGGAAGAGCAGTAGGGCCATGTAAAAAAATCAAAAAAAATCATGATAATAACTCCAAATTTCAAAATAATATTTCGAAATTGTGACTTACTAACTCGAAATTTCAAGATAATAACTCAACATTTCGACTTAATAACTCGAAATTTTGAGATAATAATAACTGTTAAAACCAGAATCTGTTCAATCTAGATCTTTGTGGAAACCGGCAAACGTATTTGGTCTTTCATTCTATAAATTTATTGATTAAACTTCGAACTCATTCTGTAAACCGGCTCTGTTTCCTGGTCTAATACTTTCTTAACATTAATAAATATGCTTTATTTGAACCGATGTAACGTCTATTCTAGTTCAATCCTTATTACCAGACAGGAAAGTTAAGAGTAGACCAGTCATTTTCAACTCTCCCGGATGTCATAATACATTATTTTAATAAACATTTTTCTGCTCATATGGATGGCGATAATTCTAATGATAAACGAATATTTTTTATGAATATCATCTTTTTCTTTTATAAGTTTTCTTAGTGAAAGTTGAAAATTAACAGAACTAGAGCAGAACGTGATGTAGATTAACAGAAAGCATGTTAAATACTGTATAGAGAGTATTAGACCGGGGAACAAAGCTGATTTACTTATTCCGGAGTTTAATCAATGATGTAAAATAATTTAAGACCAAATAATTTGGAAAGTTTTCACAAATATCCGGATTGTACGGAAGAGCATTAGATCCGGATCGAGCAGAATCTGGTTTAAATAAAATCCAAAGTACATCAAACGGTGTTAAATTATTAAGCTTTAATACATTTTAAAATGCCTAAGATTGCACCAAAGCGCTTCTAGATTTCAATCAATGATCATTTGACCCTTCAAGAGGGGCTTTGCGCTTTGATTAGGCGAAAAAACAGTATATCTGTATTGACCATGCATGTTCATAATAAAGAAAACAATTCAAAATGAAATATTCATTTATTTGTATTCCTACAGCTTCGGGAGGTATCGCCCCACTACATGAAAATCCTTTTCTTGAAATTTCGAGTTATTATCTTGAAATTTCGAGTTAGTAAGTCCGAATTTGGAGTTAGCAAGTCGACATTTCGATTGATTATCTTAAAACTTCGAGTTAGTAAGGCGAAAAAACGAAAAAAAATAATCTTCATGGCCCTAATGCTCTTCCGTAGAAGTTGAATGCATTTTCCTTAGATTTAATTAAGATTACAAAATTATCTGTATGGTACGGCTACAGACGTACATAATGATCTATCTTTGAGTTTTACCATTGTAACACCGAAGTATATACCCTTATTAATCATACATCAAAGATAACCATTATTTTATCTGAAACATAAGTTCAGGGTTTACGACTTGGACAGCTAGAACAATACCTTAAAGCTTCACGTTGTCCTACTGAGTTATAAAACATGCTCTACGGAAAGTATTGAAAAAGGACACTTTACATACGTTCATACAAACAGAAAATACTAACACAATTATGTATGTTTCTACTGCTGATCCATGGAATTTCACTATGTACCCTGTGATGAACAAATATTAGGAACTGAAGCAAGTTAGTTGTCGTATGAAAAACATGTTTGATATATATACTATCTTACGTAGTACACGTCAACTTAAACATTGGAAACGAATGTTGAAATATTCTTTTGGTTGTCTAGAAGGATTCAAGTGTTGGATACTTTGGTGTGGCACATATCTTAGAAATAGGTCAGAACGGCTCAAAATTAGACTGTGAAGGCATATATGATTTTTAAATTAAAAAAACGTAATTCATGCTATGTTATAATTTGACTATCAATAATACCTGTCGAATGATCGTACATCTTAATCGGGCGAGATTTACTCCATAGCATGGGAACCTAGTGAGCTATTGTTTATACATACTACAATAAGAAACTGTATACCATCTCACGTTGTATACCATGCTTCCCTAGACGTATACATACATACTGTGCCGGTTTTCTCTGCAGGGTTACACTGGACGTACAACATCGTTCAAATGTTGATATCAGGATCAACTACATATGAGGGCAGTCCGAAATACCTGGAGTTCGACGATATAGGTATGATTGACATGATGCCGCCTCGGCGGGTGTACGCCACGCATTTTGAGGTGTGTCACCTACCTGACGCCATCAAGAATGGAACGGGAAAGGTTATCAATATCATCCGCAACCCGAAGGATGTGGCTGTATCCTACTTCTGTTTCCTGACGTCTCTTAACATTCCTGTTTACTCCGGGAGCTTCAGTGGATTTCTGCAGTATTTCCTGAAAGAAGACTGTAAGTTCGAAACAAATCATATCATATTCATTTTATCGTGTATTTCATGGATTTTCTTATTTACTTACTTACATATTACAATATAAAAAGGTTGTTAATAAGATTCTGTTAAGATAACTGGAAAGTATTACATTCAAATTAATATTATTTCCTAGATGATTATATTATTAAGAACCACATTTCAAAATGGAAAGTCATTATTGTCCTTAATGTTTCTAAGGACAAGTAATGGAGGGTTATTATGTTGTATACATACCTAAAAGAACACGTAATGAAGGGTTATTATTTTGTATACCTACCTAAAAGATCAAGTACAGTAATGCATTTAAAATGACTCTTTGTTCTATTTGTCTGACAGTTTTGTTTGGTAATTGGTTCGGTGCTCTTAAGCAATGGTTGGATATCCAAACAATGTATCCATGCATGCAGACGCTCACCCTTCATTACGAGGATCTAAAAAGAGCGAGAGTATACAAATCTAGCATTACAGTTGTTTACCCTAGCATCATCCCAGCAGTTCTCACCTCTCACAGTGTTATACTGGTTTTATTTCGTACCACCCCGAAAACAGTTTCCATCGCTTACAATGACCCATATGTTATCCTTACATCAGTCCGTTACTTATAACCGCTTACATTATAACAAAGGTTTATAGCTTACCACCACTTGCAACACAACAATGATTTTCCTCGCTTCAATCCAACATTCACAACCACTTATAATATATCAATGGTTTATTCTCCAGTTATGTAAGAATATATATCCGCTTACAGTAGCTTACAGTATTAATAATGGACAGAATTCACGATAAAGTGTTCAAAGACAATTGATAAAATGTCAAAATAAATTGACAAAATGTCTGTTTATCAGTATACTGATTAATCAAACATTAATTGTATAGGGACTTTTAGTTTAATGTTGATTATAAAAGAAAAAAAAAGATGTTGATAATGGGATTATTAAAGTATTTGATATTTTTTAATCGATGAAATAGAATTCCTTAGCTGTTGAATAAAGACATTTTTCTATTGTTTCAGAATACTTTACAAAATCTCTGCACATTGGCGGATTTCCTTGAAGTCCCCAGAAATGATGATTTTCTACGACAAATAGAACTGAGTGTGGAATTTGCAAAAATGAAGATAAATCACGAACAAGAATTGATAGGATCCGAGACATTTAAGGACATCGCAACACATGGAGTTCTCCCCATCTATCGAAAGGGTTGGTAATGTTATATAATTTATGTCTTAAAATCACTGTACGCTTATATTAGAGACACTCAATTAAAACTTAATAGAGATAGTCGAATAAGCAAGTTTAACTATTATATTAGTACATCAGAAACTATTTTTATAATCTAAGAATACTATATGGCCATTGTTGATGTTCAAATGTTGATCCTAAAAAATATCTCTCTTTATATATTTAACATAATCCCATGCTTTTCCTTATCCGGCGTTGCAGTTCAGTATAAATAATTAATATTACAGGTCTTCTTGGTGTGTTATTAAATTATATAACCACAAGTAAATAAAATAATGTATTTGTCGTTATACCGTAATGCATCTACTAATGAATATGATAATATTCTTTTCCGTCTTCAGGAGGCGTTGGAGACTGGAAAAATTGGTTCACACCTGCAGAAAGCGAGGAGTTTGATCGCGTCTACAAACAAAGAATGGAGGGATACGACATAGATTTCATTTACGAATGAAAACTACACTTCGTTTTGCTTAATCTTAAAATCTGAAAAATATTATGAAACCAATTCTACTTTGAAGGCATCGGCGCTTACGGAATCATAATGTAATCAAGTATTTGTAACCACAATAAAACATAAAACAGTATTTAAAATAATAAAGAGGATATTGCAAGCATTGTGTTGTAACCGAACACAACTGAATGAGACAAGAAGGACAACTCATGTAGATCTTGTCCATATTGCCGGCTTTTGTAATATCATTTCCTGGAAAGCAAAATAAAGACAGAATCAATTATCAATGATTAATTTTAATCTTTTGAGTCATATTTAGGCCTATTTTAGGTTTATTACATTTACCATAATGTCCTCAATACCTATCCCGTAGGTATTTAATACTCGTCTGTTACGCTTCGGTTTATAGTGTGGAGCGTCATCTCAAACAACACAATATTGCTGTTAAAAGCAACTGGTTAGTAAGTTACCATTGACAACGGTTTTCAAAGGACGTATTTTTGTAAATGTCAACAGTTAAGGAAAACTCTTTGGAATGGATGTCCGAGCAGCGTACGGGATATAATGACAGATTAAATGATCCACTGCCTGAAGGCGTGAACTCGAAATAATCACATAAACTTAATAAATGGGAAATTCAACGATACGAAATTCAACGATACGAAAATCAACTCAGTAAACTTCACAATAGTATATAAAAATAAGATTGAAACGAAATTCATTAAAACTGTCCGAGACAAACTCATTTTTCAACACCTGTATGCTCCAACTATTTAAACCAGGAACCCAGTCTCTTGGACCCCATACTCACAACAATGCCAAATAAAACACAAAAAATACAACATGAATATCTAGGCTGTTCGTCGACAATGTGGATCAGTTGCTCAAAGCGACAGTGAAAAGGCAAACGCATTGACTAACTTTTTCAGTCGTGTTTTCAAAACGGAAAATAGAAAGGGTATACAAAGCTTCGAGTTAAGCATATTTAAGAAACATTTTGTTAGCAAGAATTCACGTATTCAGAAATTGCTAAATAAATCAAAAACCTTCATAGCAATAAATCAATAAGTCAAGATATCATACATCCAAAATTCTAAGAAGACTTGAGAATAATAACCTCACCATCCAAAATACTCTTCAACCAAAGATTGAAAGATAACAGTCTTTTTTCATGAAGGGAAATAAAAGCTATGCAGGCTAATAGACCAGATAGTTTAAAAAGTATCATAAACATACATACGAACACATGCATGTAAATACATACATGCATGCCCATTATGGCATGTGTCCATAAACACATCAGAAAATAATATAAAGTTCATGTACTCTACTAACACGAAGTGTTTGTTTTTCGGAGAGAAAAAATATCAATCAACAAAATAGACACGTTGTAGTACACAAAAAAATCTCAAAATAAACTCTTCCATTTCATCCATCTTTGTTTCAATGTTTCATTGTTGATTTTTTTTACTGATAAAACTTTCTCAATATTATATCTGAATGCAAGAAACTCATTCAAACCATTTAAGTTAACTTTTGGTTTTTTCTGGAAACAGTATATACATAATATTTTGTATACAAAATTATATACAATTGTAGTTAATGGGTATTGGAGCATTTTCAGTAATTTCAAAAGGTAATGTTTTTAACTGAAAATTAATGAGTTTCCTTATTCTGCTGTATAATCTCTCTTAAATCTCCATAGCTTGAAGGACGGTGGACATTCCCAGAACGTATGCTCTGTAGTTTCTATTTGTACTTTACAGATATTACAGAGATTGTCATTTGACATTCCAATAGTATTTAAATAGTTTTTAATTGGGAGGAGACAACTATGTAATCGGTATTGAAAGCATTGCATTGTTGTGTCATTTGTTACTTAAAACACAAGACTATATGAACGTTTCCAATCTATATTTCTAAGATGTTCTTTCAATACCCCATACCCATTTTCTTTCAGCTGTATTTATAATTTGATTTAACTATTTAATATCTCAAACATGTCTTCCTAACCTTTTGTTTTCTTTATGATAATTCTAATATTACTTGGTATGAAGGGCCTCTCCAAAGAGATTTCTGCAGTTTAGTTATAATTTAATTGTTTACAACGTTGACTAATAGACTGGCATATACTATGAAAATCAAGAGGTTCCTGGAGTTTATATTGTATTTCAGCGGTTTTGACTTATCAAAATGGAAACCACATTACTCAAGCTCCTTAAACCTCGGGCGACTGTACAGGGATTATTGATGAAGGTGCTGGTATCGTAGTAGAGTATATAGGGTTAATTAGGCATTTGACACCATTTCGCACAGGAGGTTAGTAAGCAAATTGAAATTATATGGATTTTCAGGAGAAATAGAAAGCTGGATAAAGGTGTTTTTTACGCAGGCAAGTCATTGTTAATGGTTATATCTCAGGAATAAAATCTCCACAGGGAAGCGTCCTGGGTCCATCGCTGTGTGTTCTGTATATGAATACCCTACCAGATGTCGTTTATTGAACGCCCTGCTGTTTGCTTATTCAACCAAATTAAATAAAGACACCAGGGAAATTGGAGATACTCAGCAGGATCCAGCAAATCTTCAACATCAACATTGATATATAAGTGTACGTTTGGTTTCTATAAAGGCAGCCAAAGTGTGCTGTGGTCAAGTGTTATTTCCACCGGCAACAGGATGTCTATACATCACATGGACGAATGAATCAGAGACACATAGGTATATCATATACAGCAGGTCTACGATATCAGACAGACTCGCCGTGTTAAGTGCAGAAATGTGAATGTCATCGTACGAGAGTTGAATGATTCAATATCGGATTGATTTACATTGTGCAATAATTATGTATTCTAATGTTTCCTTATTTTCTTTTAGAATATATACGAAAATACATGTTTCTAGGTGGATGCTAACGTGTTTAGGTATTTGCGTCGTTTAATTGTGACTATACTGGCACAAAGTGAGATTAACCGCTAACGCGGTACAAGTAAAATGATTATTTGCGACAGTATGATCACGATATACCGACCTAATTTTCACATTATAGTAGACGTTTTCCTTCTCTTAGTCATTTTTATTTACAAACATTTTTAGTTTGTAAGTTTTCAATAAAGGGAGGTGTATTCCTCGAACCAAATGAACGTCATTTTCGATAACTCATCCATGTCATATTAATTTTGTTAAACTCGTTCAATAATTTGAAGACACTCGCCGAAAGGCTCGTGCAATATGCAATTATTGAACTCGTTTAATAAATTCAATATGACATGGACACTCAAGTAAGTTCCTCTACATATGGTATAAAGTTAATCAAATGTGTAGTTACGGTACATTGTATGCCCTTATTTGGGTATATAGATACAGTATGACATTATTTAAATACATAGGTATGGTATGACCCTATATCTACATTACAGTGTCTGTAATTCGGTGTCAGAACAGAACTTAATCAGTTCAGCATGCTCCATACAAAACAAGTCAGACAAATAACACATTGTTCTTCTATCAACAATAACAACCAGGATAACATATCATCATGTTTTATTAGCTTCTCGCTCAAAATAAACGGCTGTTCTGCTATATTTACATATACAGTTTATCGGGAACAATAGAAGTAGGTTTGGTTCAACCACGTGCTGTATTGTTCGTGTTCCCGGTTACGCATTCGGATGATGTCAGCTGCTCTGTGGGGATGTAGCTGTTTTTTGCAATCTCCATTGACGCTGGCGTTTTCTCTGCATTTGGTAGCTATTAAATGGCATTTGTGACTTATAATTTTACGCGAGTAATAAAAACTACAATTGATGAAACACTGATAAATGTTTAGCTGTCTGTGTCTGACTTAACCCTGAATGCCGCATACATTAGTGGTATAAATACATTATGTATTGACCTGCTACATGGGTATCTATGAATATGCGAAGTAATACCATTGTCGACACGACTGAATTAAACATTGAAAATCGTAAAGTGTACATTGCCTCTATACAATTATGCTTTATAAGATTTAAAAAAATGTTGATGGGACTTTCCTAGAGACTATTTCTCATCGTTACAAGTAGAACTGAAGCAATGCTGTAACTGCAACAAAATTCTGCACATAAAATTCTTTTTTACGCAAAACCTATACGCTTACAGAATTCACCATTCTTAATCCTATTTAAAAAGGATGTCCAAAATCATATTCATATCAAGATACAAATGTATGTTCTTCGATAAATATTTTCCATTCATTTTAGAGCGAGAATAGTGCAAGGGCCAAACAAATTAATTTATATATTGTTTGCTCGTATCCAAACCTAAATAAAATGCATGTACAATTACTGAATAGATATTTACTAATATGTTTTGTTTTCTGCTGTTTTTTGTTTTTTTTTTTAATTACTTTGGTCTTGTCTTTTAATGAATGTTCATATAACAGGTAATTTTTAATGATCTTTATAAAATATTAGTATTCCTTTATAATTGCTATAACTAATACGGTCGTGACTAAAAGGAGATATCATATCTATATCGTAAGATTCAATTATTCGTAAAAATAAACTTAGAAAGTTTCCAAAAGGATCAAGCATTGCTAGTGCCATTGTATTTCTGATTATTTAATAATGTTTTCCTTGATTCTGATTTGAATTACCAACGTTCATTCGAACCTTACTGTTTTTGACATTTTAAGACGACAAAAACATTCTTAGGTTACGTCTAAGCCAGAGGTCTCGTCGTCAATATTTGATGTGTCCGGACATGAATCACTCCCAAACAGTATTTCAGAAAGATCCGCTTCGTTGATTTCTCCACCAGATGGTGGTACCTTTACTCTGAGAAAAACAAGCCTGTTGTGTGCATGCACCATAAATTCATTCATGTCGAGTAGAGTAGCCAAATCGTGCGCAGTTTCAGCACATTCAAACGCCTTATTTATATTTCCAACCCGGAAATGATAGTCACAGTTTGCAATGTGGTAGTGCATACTCAAAACTCTCCTGGATGTTACATCAGTCCCGGAAACATGAAGCAAGTACTTACCAGCCATGTCTACAACGGTTGGATCTGGCTGTAAAATGTCCATGGTAAGACCATTCTCTCCACATTGTAGAAGTAAGATGATGAGGCGACACATTGTATACACAAATCCAACAGGCCCATATTCACTTTTGTCTTCTTGAAAATTGGCAAGCGCTTTTTCAAAACTGGCCTTTGCTCTGTCATGCAGATAGCCATGAGCTCCGATAAAATTTACTCGCGTTGGATTGAGTAGATCAATCTGAGCTGCCATCAAGCGCCCTTCCTGTACGTGAAGCCAGCCGGCAGCCCGTCCACTAGACGCAACTACATCTGTCTCTATTATCATTTTTGCAGCATCCACAACATCTTGCAGGGTTTCAAACTTCTTTTGATACAGAAGCATTCGTGCCTTTGTACCTAGGAGCTCGAGCGTAAAGTATCGTGTATTAGTTGTTTTACCACAGATCGTAAGGGCTGACTCGATATGCTTTTTTGCACCGTCAAAGTTTGATTTATGCAGCTCCAAATTGGCTTGCAAATATCCTAAAACACATTTCATATCGAAGTCTGTTCTATATCGACGGCGAAGTCGAGTTGTCAACCCGTTAAACTGGTCAAATAACCCTCTGTTCATCATAGAAACCAATGTGTTAAAAGCAACATCTAAACGTTTATTTGGAAGAGTATCTGGTTTTGATGCCCCTGGTGACATCAGAAATGGAACAATTTCCGTTGTACCAGAGACAGTCACAAGTTGGCCTTCCTCTGGAGTAATATCACGCCTTGTCCTCTTTGTGGATGGACAGTTGTCAATTTTTACTTCATATGCGTTTGTACAATTCACAAGTTTGGTGTGTTTTTGCTTTGTACAATTTACATCACGGTCCTCTTCCAACTTAAGTGTTTGAGAGAAATAATCTTCTCTCTGTTTCAATTGTGATGTAGATGAATCAGTGTTAACGTAGTATTTTTTGTATCGTGTACAAGGGTCTGTTTGGTTTAGTACAGTTGACCTTTCTATAGACGACTCATTTATCCTACAGCGTGGCGTTATACTGATAGGCACTGAATCTGTTTCGGTACATGATTTCGCACTAACAAATGGTTGTTGAATCCTTTCAACAATATATTGATATTTCTTTTGCAAAGACGCTTTCAGCAATATAATAAGCTTGTCTTTTCTACTTTTGGACAATTCCTTTAGATATAAAGCACATCTGTCTTTTCGAGTTTCTCCTGTCTTTATTCGGTCGCATTCGTCTTCACTGAATATGTCCTCTTGGTAACTATAAGGTAAAAGGTCTTTTGGTTCAACATTTTGTAAAATGAGACAGCAATGTCGCTTCAAGATATCTTCAATATCTGGATTCAGAAAGCTGACAGGAAAATAAGGTGAACACTCTTCACATGCGTCATTTGAATTAGATGTGTTTTCACCATTTTTTCCACAAGGAACAGAGTCAGTTGCTGTTACGTCTGGAATGATAAGGTCTGCAATATGACTATACTTCGAGCACCGAATAGCACCAAGGAATGACTCAAAGGCAAGAGGACCTCTCTTCGTCAGAACAGAAATCAAGTTCTCACATCTCTCCTTTCGTGTTTTGTTTGAATTTGTCACACGTTCACAATCATTGTCTGTTAGTATTCCATCCTGGTATAAATCGTCCACAACATCTTTAGGATCGAGATCATTAACAATTTGTACATAGTTTCGTTTGAGTTTAGCCTTGTGAATAGGGTCCATGGTATGTAGAAGGTGTTTTCTGTAATAAAAACAAAAAGTAATAATATATATTTATACATCATTTGTTAGTCATTCAATAATAGTTATGTTTTAATTTTATTTCACAATTCATGTTGATTCTTAATGAACACGACTACGTTGGGACAACACCTTAGCTAAGATATACCACATGCAGTTTCATTTTAATTGTAAATCTCAAATTTTGTTTGAGATTCCTTCTGAACGTCATATTCCTTACCGCATTTAAGCGCGGTTACCGAGTTGTACTGAACACACACATACATATGGAATAAAAATCACATTGAAAACCTGTGTTTAGTTAATTGAAAATCATACTGTTTCAATAATAATGCAGTAGGTGAACCTCTTTAGACAGAGCTTTAATAATTTAAGCTGGTTACTGCTTGAGATAGTATACTTAACAATTGTCCGTAGTATTATGTTAGCTGTCGGTCAGTATACAGTAGTAACATGTCCTTCAAACCATCAAATGTCAGTGTTATACATGGTAGTCATCATAAAGCTGAATTTGATGATGAAATTAAATCGATAAAATTCACAGTCGATCAAAACACATTGAGTATTACGTCATTCAGAGAACAGTACGTTGAACACTGCAGAAAAAATATAACTTACCAGTAGAGTCAAATATGATGTTGCTTCAGTGATTCTGCTATACAGAAATTACGCCATTACTTATGTTATTCTCGCGACTGTTCTAAATTACTTCAAGGTTAGAGTACAATGCCAATCCTCCATCACGTGTACACACATGTATTTTGCGGTATGTGTTTGTTACACTGACGATGGAGCAGCTATGTGTGTATAGTTGTATGTTGGACTACGCTACAAGCCCAAGGGTGTCCGCCTACTACCTAACATTACATTACTGATTATCGCTAAGACCACTATCATTTTGAGCAACTTTCATTAAACGTGTTAGAATTACATTTGATAATCATATACCAGGAGTCGTAGAAATAAAGGTTTTGATATTATTTATGTATCAATACTATTGTAAGATTTGAAAAACAGAACACTATATATGTGAGCTATAATAATGGAAACATTTAGATACTGGGCGAATTATATCCTTCCCCTCTAACACATGTGTGACGTCTGTAGAATTGACAAATAGGTTTTTACATGCCTTTATAAGGTGTATCAAAGGAGGCGTTTCTGATGTTTTTGTTTGTTTTAGTATATGCTTATATGCTTTTCAGATGTGCAGAATACGTAGTCGTGGTTTGTATAAAGAGTTTTCATTGTGGTGTAAGGTGTTTAAGTCATTCAAAAAGTCCAGTATATGGACAGTTTTTAAACAGACTGGAATTTAGTTGTTTATCCCTCTTTTTCTATAATGGTTTATGGGTATATTTTACGATGCAACATTTGGAAGACAATAACTTCTTACGAGAGTGGATAAATACAACAGCACATAAATCAGTAAGTTTTCCATTTTGTTATTACATATGTAATTATTCATTATAAATAAGTCACCTAGTCAAAATGCCAAATCGCACGTTCGCAGTGTGGTCCTCTTGTATTCTTAAATAAAAGATGTATCGAGATTTAGATCTCCAATCCAGTACTACTTGTCAGCTAATAAGCAAAGGTGTAATTAAGTGTAATAAGGAATTATGAGCTCTTTTTTATCAATTACTTATGACCATTGGGCGGTATGGGAGGTATTTTCTTTTAATTCATTTATGACTAAAAATATACATAACATGTCAACTACAAATTCCTTTAATTTTAAAAGGAAAATATTTAGTGAACACAATGAATGTATATTGGTTGTAGTTGTGACTTGTTCTAGATTATAGTTAACGCTACATTAAAACACACATGCACATATAGAATAGGGAAACAACAATTGATCTACTAACCCATTGGAACCCTTGCATCAAATATCTGGGGGGTTTCTGACTTCACTACTCTTTCGTTTTGGTTGTGATAACCTAAGCATCCGCCTTAATATGACTCAAGGACGCAAAACCATATATGATCAAATAATTATTACTGAATTTGGAACTTTACCAAAACAGCCATTACAAAGTGATCGGTTTCCTTCCAGGTTCCAAATTAATACAAAAAACAAATTTGATTGATTGCCACCACATACTTATCTATTTTACTGTTCTACTGCACATGCGAGACTGTACCGTAACAACAAATACAGGTACATGATTCTTTTGTCCGACTGGTGACGATATTTCAATATAAATGTAAGACTGAGTACTTTTAAGAAAAGACATTGAGCCTTGTTCTCGTTAAGATGATATAATGACAAGTATGCACTGCAAATCTCCCCAAAGAACTTTGTCTGCACCTCAGATAATAATTATCCATTCATATAATAATAGTCATGCAATATAATAGACGCCAGCTGCACCGTGCCATTGTGCAATTGGCAACGCTGAACAATCTTTTGTAATTTTATCATTGTCTATGTATTCTGATTTGGCAACATTACCCCGAAAGATCCATTGTAGCGGAAACATGTACCTGATTCTAGTACCCTGTACCCTGTACCCTGTACCTCGTACCCTGTACGCCGTAAACTGTATTTGCACAGCACAATACCTTTGATACGATATGTATCTTGATACACATAACTGTTTTAGAAGTAAGTTTCACAATACATGTGTTCAAATATTGTACAGAGATGTAATAACTTTACGATGTCAATAGTAATTACAGTTCAAATATATCTTTGTTCGAGCTGTTGTACGTATTTTGTATCACTGCACAATGGATAACATTATTTCTGGTGTATAAAAAAAGAATAAGTGAACTCACAAATTGAATTTATTCAAGGATTGATTGATAATATCCGAATTGTGAAGATATTTCCCTATGCAGACAAACAAAATGGTTTGCTACAATACACAACAAAGTCTTGAACTATTCAATGAATTGTTTCTGTCTACGCTTTACCCTGTACCATGTACCCCGTACCCTGTACCCTGTACCCTGTACCATGTACCCTGTACCATGTACCCCGTACCCTGTACCCCGTACCCTGTACCCTGTACCCCGCACCATGTACCATGTACCATATACCCCGTACCCTGTACCCTGTACCCCGTACCCTGTACCCCGTACCCCGTACTGTCACAGCACCATACAATCGACACGATATACATTTTAATACAAATATCTGCTTGAAAAATAAGTTTCACAATACATGATTTTAGACCGGTATACCTCCCAATAGGTAATCAACGAAAACTTTAAGGGACAATTTAGTTAAGTAAGTTTTTACCTGAAAATCAAGTCGATACTGAAAATATATATCTCCTATGGAGAGTTGGTCTGTGGAAAAAGCTCCAAAAAAGCAACATTACTGGAAAAAATTTCAATATTATTTATAAGCTATATGATAAAACCAAATCATGTGTTAAAAATGGATGTGAACAGTCGGATTTGTTCAATTGTGAGATCGGTTTAAAACAGGGCGAAAATTTATCGCCATTTTTGTTTGCAATTTATTTAAATGATTTAGAAACTTATCTTGTTGAAAAAAATGTAAATTGTCTTCAAACAATAGACAAATTATGTATTGATAACATTGGAGTGTATCTCAAACTATTCATTATCTTATATGCCGATGATACTGTCCTGTTTTCAGAAACACCAGATGGTTTACAGTTAGCTTTAAATGAATTTGAACAATACTGTAATACTTGGAAGTTAACTATCAATTCAGGAAAAACTAAAATTGTCATCTTTTCAAAAAGAAAATGTGCAAGAACTCCCCATTTTACATTATGTAACGTAGAATTAGAAATACTGGAAGGGTATACCTATCTAGGATTATTCTTTAATTTTAGTTGTAGCTTCTTTAAAGCAAGGAAAAAAATTGTTGAACAAGCACAGAAATCAGTGTTTGCTGTCTATAAGAAATTGAGAAACATATCTTTACCAGTTGATCTACAATTGAAGATATTTGATTCATTAATTATGCCAGTTCTTCTGTATTCATCAGAAATATGGGGTTTTGAAAACACAAATATTATAGAAAAAATCCATCTTCAATTTTGTAAATATATACTAAATGTAAGAAAAAGTACACCAAATTTCATTGTTTATGGTGAGCTTGGAAGATACCCACTAGACATCGAAATTAAATGTAGAATAATAGTATTCTGGCATAAGTTGATTACCTCTAGTAAGTTATCAAGTACTATTTATAAGCTTATGTATACATTACATGAAAATGGAACTATGTTATTTAAATGGCTCGCATATGTTAAAGATATTTTTTCTCAAACTGGCCTGAACTATGTGTGGTACTATCAATCTACATGTTCTTTTTCAAAAGACGAAATTAAGAGGCTTGTGAAAAGTAGACTGAAGGATCAATTTATACAGAAATGGTTTGATAATATTCTTAACTCCTCTAGAGGACAAACATATTCAATATTAAAGACAAAGTTTGAACAAGAAAAATATTTAATTAAACTTAATACAAATGATAGGAAAATAATGTGTAAATTCCGTTCTTGCAATATGCATTTACCCATAGAAAAAGGAAGATGGTTAGGTATTCCTCGTCAAGAAAGAACCTGTACATTATGTAATTTGTACATTGGAGATGAATTTCATTACTTATTTATATGTGAAAGTGTTTTAGTTAAATGTCTAAGAGAGAAATATATACCAAAATATTATTTCACTTATCCAAGTCAATTAAAAATGCAAGGATTGTTTAATATATTTAATGTAAAAATTTACACAAAACTTTGTAAATTCATAGAAAAGCTTGAAAAAATATTAACTTAATTTCTGTACTATTTGTGTACTTCTATATGTATCTATGCTATGTACAATGTTGTAATTGTGTACATCACACGCCATGTATCATACTTACTATATGTATGTGACCTCTTGTTACACACGTAAGTGTGTCGGAGTGAATAAATAAAA